GCTGTTGCGGTGGCACAGCTCTGACACTTAGGGTACGAACAGAGAAAAAGCTTAGGAGATCTTAATTACCATAGTAAGAACCTGAAAATGTTTTTTTGGCAGAACCATGAAAATGCTTGCTGCCAGCTAGACTAGGATGTATATCATCTTGTCCACTGATATCAGCTGCCCTTTTGATGGCAGTTGCAGCAGTATCGGTTGGTTGTGCTCTGCTCTGTGTTTGTACAGTCCCTTGCACAAAGGCATTCCTTTCTGTGACTAATCTTCCTCGGAATTATAGTGATGCAAGTAATAAGTAATTAGTATATTTCATTACAGTAGCTCCTAGAAACTCAAGCATGTTTAGGGGCTAGTTGTCTCACGGTGCTGTGGAAGACCTCCTTTAGCTTTCATTTGCCTTGCTTGTTGATGCTGTGTCAAGAAGGCATTCTGCTGATGTTTGAGAATGAGAAACCTTCAGACTGTGTGACCCTTTTCTAGTTTTCCTTGGCTGACCACCTGGGCCTAAGAAAAATGTGGTATTATCGGAGTACTGCTGTTTGGAATAAAGCCTCCAGTGGTAGTCCAGAAGTAGAATTGTCAAGAAATGGATACAAATGACCAAGACAGTGGATGCTAATGCGAGGTATTTATTATTCTTAGTAGTGCATGACTTCTGAGATGCTGGCTGGCACGGAGGGTGGGGAGGAGATTCTCTATAAATTGAGTGAAAAGGTTATTTTGTAGTTTCAGTTTTGAAGCCACATTGTCTTCCTTTATTGCAGCTGTGATTCTTAGTCTACTTATTGTTCCAAGCCTAATTTCAAGCTCTCAGCTTTTTTTTTTTTCCCCCCAGTTAAGTCTTTGTGTGGTTTTCCTTTCCAAGAAGAACTTAGTACTATGCTTTGGTCTATGAGCTGCAGCCAGATAACTGTACAAAAGCTGCAATACTAGCACTTCTTATGTGTGTGTGTGCAATTTTTAGAAAATGAGTTCTTCAGTTGATTGGTTACAGCTTTGTTAGGGTATGTCCTTGTCACAAACAGTCATGAGACTCATTAGTGAGGCTGAGGTGAGGCATCCCTATAGCTTTGGTTGCTGTTCTTTCCTCCTCTCCATCCCAGTCCTCGAGTCCACCCAGGCTGACTCATGAGGGGTATGATGTCAGGAGAGGCAGTGACTTCTGAGTATTTTACCGTGGTGCCATTGGCAGGTGATGCTCCAGACACCATGGACTTGTGGTAGCTCAGCCCTGGTAGGAAGCAAATGTTTTCCTGGGCTTGTGCCAAGGAGATGGTGGAGGGAAACGTGTAGAGAGGCTTAGCCTGGTTGTGGTGGGGGTGAGGGAAGGCACTCACAGTCTTGGAGTGCACAGTCCCAAGGGAGGGGGTTACAGATCATGTTTGCTTTCTGTGTTGTATGGTAGCTGTTGTAAAGGTGAGGTGTCTCTGGAGGAAGAAGAGAAAGGAGGGACTGTTGGGTGCATTGTCTTTTCAGTCTTCTCCTTTAGTTTGAGATACTGCTTGCTACCCTGTGTGGGAAGTGCTGGTGTCCAATAACTCCTGTGGAAGTGTCTCCTGAACTGGATTTATTACAATTCCTTAAACTGATTGCTGCAGTGGAGCAATGCAGCTTTTACTGAAATGTATCATACCTATTTCAGTGGGTGAAGCAGTAAGTCAACTCTGATTACTTTTCAAAACTGCACTGTACAAGTAGACTGTATGGTATACTGTGCTGCAGGCACAGATTTGTGAATTCTTCTGTTGTTTTCCTTTCTGAAGGATTAATGTTTGGATTTTACAGGGCTTCAGCTTGAATTTAAATTTTACTACATGGCTTTCTGAAAGTGAATTTATGAATCATTGTTATGGATTTTGAGTAATTATGTTGTCATGCTGTTATTGATAGATGCAGAGTCATAAAGCTTTGAGTAATGCCAGCTGAAGAAGATACTTTAGCAGTGGACATAATTGTATTTCCCTTAACATCTGTGGGGGCACTGCAGTATCTTATGATGCACAGAAACGATTCATTAAAAGGTGCGAAGTGCTTGTGTTCCTTTGGTACAACAGAAGAATTTGTCAGCACAGCCATTCGGTCTCAGGATAGTACTCTTTTCTGCATTTTTGTGTGTTTTAACTTAGTACATTAAGCTTCAACCCTATTCAGGATTTCTAACCTTATTTCTAAATAAGCTGTTGTATTTGCTGCTGTAGTTCTGCAATTTCCAGGATCACTTTGGTTAGAAATTTATCATATCTTTTTACTCTTGCAGGTAGCTATAATCAGGAGCTATTTATGGGTCAGTTAGACTTTTAGTCAGTTAGACTTATGTTAATTTAGCATTTGTTTCGTTGTATATGCTTTAAGGTATCTCTAGGTAATCAGTTGTTCTGGTTTGAATCAGTTTGGCCATTTTGACTTTATTATGATAAAGTCCTGACATCATGATGGAAGTTGATGCTGAACAAATCTGATTAATAAAAACCCACTCATGAACAAGTAAATAATGTTGAAAATACCACAAAATAATGAATAAAAAATGTGAAAAGTTACGCTCTCCAAGGTGCTTTAATATTTTAAAGAAAGAAAGTGGTGTTTTGCATGTTAATGTGATATTATATGTTTTCACAATAGAATCAGGAAGGAGACTAGAGGAAGAAATGCAGAGAAATTATTTAACTTGTTTCAGCTTCCATAGAAAAGGTTGTTTTGTTTGTACTTTCAGGTCATTCAGTTCAAAATACAGCCTACTAGCATGAGGAAGGAAATTATGGGCCCAGAGGCCTTTCTTCTAGTGTTAAAAAAACCCACCAGGAGCCAATGATAAAATTGAAACAACGGAACTCTGTCACTCATTGCAAGATATAATATTACCAGAGAAGAAGAGCAGCAGAGACCAACCCACTAACAACACGATTTGTATACTGACCTGCAATTTATAGGGCTGGTAGGTCTGTGTAAACTATGTAGAAGTACTCTTTTGTTGATTAAACTAAGGGTGCTTTTACGGAGTAAAGCTAATGCATTCATCATTTATAATATTTTCTTGATTATATTAGTCCTTTCCCAAAGTATTTGAAATTGCAGACAAGAATTACAGGCAAGAATGATTTTTATTTGTAGCAAATTTATAGTGACATGGTGTATAGCTTTGCCAGCAAGAGAACTGCCTTTGTTTGTATGTCCTTTTCTAAGGATCTAGTCACCTGTGTTAGGGAAAGGTACATTCTGCTTTTAAAATGAACTCTAAGAATTTCAGAACATTCAGCTCCCCTGTCCTTGGTTAATTTGCAGAGAGAGATTTATGCTTGAGCCAGGCCTGAAAATAAATAATATTGCTTCTAATTGGTGTGCTTTACAGTTTTTGTTCCATAATATAAAAGTGTAACAATGAAAAACATATGTAGAATAAATCTTTTATAACCATTTAAGCATGTTATTGCCTTTGAAGATAATATGCTTAGGCCTTTCATTACTAGTGAATTTCAGCTGGAGAGTGTGCGTGAACACCTATGTGTATATGTCTATACAGACATTTAGATAGCTTTTAATATGGAAGTGTGTTATGATTGTAGTTTTGTGAAATAAACAAGAATGTTTTGTTTGGAATTTTTTGACAGTTCACAAATGGAAAAATTTGAGACATTGCAGAGTCATAGTAAGCAAAGGGTTAAGTTTGAATGTTTTATGTGAAATTCAATCATGAATATACTGGGTTTAGTCCTACTGGCTTCAGTGTTGAAAATATTGTGTACTGAAGGTAAAAGTTACAGTCCAGTGTTTTGCTGCAGCAAGCTCACAGAACTTAATTAAAACCTCAGTGTGTGCATGAATGAAAACCATAATTGAAGCTGTACTTCAGTATTATTTCTGTCAACTTCATTTGTTTGTCGGAACAAGTTAATTAGGTACTGAGTCTATGATTGAAAAAAATTACTTAAACATGTGCTTAACGTTAAACATATGAACTTAGTGATGGAAGTTGAGCATGTGCTGTTCAGCTGCGTTAGGGCTGAAATTAGCCCGTCCGTGCCATGTCTCAGGCCAGTGATTTATACTGAAAAGTGCAGCTTTTGCCTACAAATCTTTTTTATGCCAGCAAAGGTTTAGATCTAGTTAATTCTGCCTTTGGATAGGTTGTGGCTGAGGTGATCTCTCAAACCCTGTACCAGTCTTCTAAATAACAGGAAAACAGAAGTGATGAGAAGTCGGAGTTCAAAAATGATTGGTATAATTTGAAAGATATCCTTAAAAACTTGCTACTGTATTGCTACATTTAAATTATGGCATATCTATAGGCTTGCAGTAAGCATCCACTTTTGAAGTGATTGTAGTTATATTTACCAATGCTGCTGTGCTGTGCTTTCCTGTAATACTTTTCAGTTGTGAAGTGCCGCAGAGTTTGAAGGACCACAGAGGCATTTCTATGTTTTTGCTGTTTCCTCTTCGTTCTGTTGTATCCACCTCCTTTAGAATGTGAACTAGTATCTCTTGCCTGTTTTGTTTTTATCTGCAAAATGTGTCTTTTCAGCACCATTTTAATTAATAGCCAGGGGAGATGGCAGAAAAAAGGGGCAATAGCCATGTTCATCCTAGTCACAACTCCCTATCAGAGAGTCTTTTCGCTCCTGGCTGCCTTCTTGCACTTGGTCAAGATTCACTTAATTTCATGGCTGGTTTAGCTAATATGAAGGCAACTGACCTTATTGTAAACTTCAGCTTTTGAAGAGGCAAGTTTGCTCCTTGTTTGAGCTCTTAACTCATTGCTTGGCTTTGTTCCTTCCCCCTGACAGACAATATAGTGCTTGTACATCATTTCTTGTAAACAGTAATGTCACAAACAGTCATGTGCAGTCCTCTTTCCTGTACTATTTACTACAACGTCAATTATTTTTATTTATGTATTTTTTTTAAACAGGCATAATACACAATGGATTACTTACTGGCTTTGGATTGGTATCAGTCATAGCTGTGGGTCTGTAAAAACACACTTTGATTACATTAACTTCTTAAAAATGAATGGGAGGTCATGCAGTATGAGCCATCGGACAACAGGTATTTCTCATGGACCTAGGATGATCAGTGGACAGCAGATCCCACCTGTCAGAGTTCATGCAGGAACACCCTGCCCATCTTCAAATAGCAGCACCCCAAGCCCAGCTATTGGAAATTTTTCTGCCAGCCTACACTTAAAGATGCCCCTTGGAGGAGGGGCAGCTCCTCAGAGCAACAGCATTGACAGTGTTATTCACCTTCCTGCTCTAAGTCCCAGGAAACAAGTGGTTACAAATGGGAAGCCTTTATTACAAGTCCCACAGCCCCCAGGACTGCCAGCCCCATACTCTTTAAAGCCAAAACAGCAAGAATTTGGAAATACTTTCTCCTCAGGCACAGGTGAAGGTAAGACTCCTTTTTCTGTTGCTATTAGTGATAGCATTACTTCTCCAATATCACATACCCAGGAGGGATTGGTTTTAATCTCGTCTTTACCACACTTTTACCACAAAGGAAGAGATACCAAAACAAAATATTTTGCTGTTTTCCACAAAAGCAATTAATTGTTGGATTATTCCCTGTGGCTCTGTATTACATGGCAGTTGCTCCAAACTCCTGAGTTGTCCCAAAGTTCTTTATAAACAGTGTAGTTTGGCTTTGCTTTGCTAATCTAAACCTTTTGACTCAACAAATCCAGATAGTCATTTTATGTTCTGTGGCACCGGAATTTTGTGAATGCTGTCGGAAATACTCCTTCTTGGATGCATAAACACAGCTTTCCACTGGTGATTAACAACTGCTTACCGATGAAAACAGCAATGTAGTCATGCTTTTTAGAGTGCTTAGGCTGGACAAGCTTTAAAGCACGTTGGAGCATGTCTGTAGATTTGCAATCTGTTTTGTGGAACTAAAAGTTATGCTCTAGAAAATAATGATGCATCAATACATCAATACATCAATAATGATGTAGCCTTTACAAAATTTGGAGGCTGGTCCTCTGTTAAGTGCTTGTGCATCAGGGATTTACCTATCTGCAAGAAAGTACTTGACTATCTGCTCTTAGGGTCTTTGAAGTAAAAATGGAGTTTTTAGTACTTCTTGACTCTGGTCATGCTGAAGCTAGGGATACCTTTTTGAATGAGTTTTGGTATCATACTTTCAAAAGTGAATGTACATGGACATGAGAATTTATTGTATAGAAAATAATTAAATAATTTAATACAAAGAAAAGCTTGCGTTGGTGTCTGTGTGAAAGCAGAGTAAGGAAGACAGAGATTTCCCATTTAATTCCAAGTGTGTCTCTTCTTTCCTTTTTGTGTTTTTCTTCACTACATCCCTTTGAAAACTTAGGAAGCTCCTCCCTCTTCAGTAAGGCTTAAACCGATATCCTTTCAGAACAAATCGAAAGGTAACTGCATACTTGAATGCTCTACTGAGTCAGGCCAGTGGTCATGCATATATATATTCATTGGGTGACCACTGAGATCACCCATCTGGTGCATGCTTTGGTGGTGAGTGTAATTCACAGCATATAGCTTTGAGCTTTTGCTACAGCCAAAAGAGGTGGACTCCTCACACTAAGCTTTAGAGGAACTTTTCTGTCTTTCACAATTTGAACCCTACCATCTTCAAAATTACGTGCCTAAAACCAGAGAATCCATGCTAGGATCTCTAAAATAGCCCTCCCTAACAGCTAGTCCACCTGCAGTATGTGTTAGAGAGTAGCATTGCAGGGTGAAGAGACTGTCACCTAGTTTAATGTCCTTATTTGGGGGATTTTGCATCTGCTGTGCTTAATTGCTCCATTCTTAGCTGCTGACTTTTCCGTCTTCCCTTCTTGGCCTGATTAGCTGTCACATATGTAAAGTAGTCTGCTATTTGTGGGATAGCAAGTGTGGAATTCAGCTGAATGGCTGGCATTAGGGAAGCTTGTGCATAAGCACTGCTAGTTAGACAAGGTGCTGTGGACTTTGGGTTCTGTGTTTCTATGAACTGGAATTACTATTTCCTCATGCTTTAAAGTTCTTGTTCTTAGCAGAACCACTTACAGAGTTAAAGATTATGTATGCTGGGAAGAACTATGGAAGAACTAAGCCTTATTCACCTGGTCATGTTGAGATAATTTTTTAAGACTTTGAACCTTGCTATGCTGTATAAAGCATCGCATGTGTGTAAATGAGACCATAAACCTTATAAAACTGTTAATGTAGTTTATGCTTGGGTAGCTCTTTCGTATTTTGTACGCCGGTTAGCTCAGTGGTTTGAGTGCGGTGCTGACAACTATGACAACACCGAGGTTGCGGGTTCGATTCCTGTTCGGTCCCCATGTGTTGCTTGGTCTAGTCGAGAGGTGGCATCCCTGCCCATGACAGGGAAGTTGGACTAGATGATCTCTAAGGTCCCTTCCAGCCTATGCCATTATATGATTCTATGATTCTCTAGTGGTAGGTACATGGAGGAAAATATCTTTTGGTAGGTACTTACTTTAGTTTCACCTTCATTTCAGAAAGTCAATAGTTTTTGTTTTACAAGTTATCTCAGTATCAGTTATAGAGGTTTTCACTATTCAAAGTTGGTTTTAGTTGTTTTGTTTGATTGGTTGGTTGATTGGTTGTTTTTTTACTTTAAAACACATGGGATAGTAAAAACAGCAAGATACACACCAAAATGACTTGTTAGTGGTTTTGGAATTCTTTCCCTGCATTCTTTCAATAATGGATAAAACAGTTTAAAAAACAACAAAAAAAACAAAACAGGATTTTCAGTTTGGGATGGAGAAAGAACAGAAATTTGTGGAGGGAATGCAGTTGTGCACCTTGGTTTTTATGGAGGTTTTTGGGATATTTTTGTGACAGGAGGTGGTGCTGAGTGCACAAAAAGAGAACAGTAATAATCTAGAGTAACTGCAACAGTGAGAGTCCTTACTTTGCATGAAGACTTTCTCTATCTTTGACAGTGTTACAAAGCTTTGAAACGAGGTGATTTTTAGAAAGGATACCACCTAAGGCACACTGAAAAACTGCTATGCTTTTGTGCGTGATAAGATCCTGAAGCACATTTTGCTGTGTTACTGTAGAGAGAAAAAAATCAAGTCTGAACGTACACTGACGATCACCTCTGACTTCATTTACTTTACCTTCTGTGTGGCATTGATGGTGTAATGTGCTTTCTTGTAATATGTTGTGCATATGAAAAAGAAAATAGTATAATGGAGGATGTTTTTTCAGTACAGAAAAATGTACTGATATAGTTATTTTCTGTTGATTGTTTACTAGGAGCACACACTTCTGTGTACCCATATTAGGTATTTTCACATAGTAATTAGGTGCCAAATGCAGATGTAACAGTATGTGTATTTGGCATCGGAAATCTACAGACTCTCGTTTTATATGTGTGTATGTCCACTTTTTGTGACTAATGGGTTTCACACCATTTAAATTTACTCAGGCCTGGAGAGAGATCTTTGCTGACAATATCTGCTGAGATGAAAGGAGCTAGAGAAACATCAGGCAGAAGTGAGCAGAACGGGGGAAGGAATGAGAACAGTGAACGAAGACGTAAGACCATAATCTGGCCAGTGCTAGTCTTCAGCTTCTCTCATCAATGCAGATCTTTTGACAGAAGTAATGCAATGAAAAATAATACAATTTTTAAAATCTAGCTGTCTGCTGAGTGTTCTGTTAAGGAGGTATTTATTTTTGAAGTGTGTAAATCTTAAATAGTTCAGATTAGAACTGTGATCTAAGTATAGCGATGTCCAGAAGTTATGTATTCAAGGATTTATTAGCAGCCCATCTGCACTTCATACATATCTCAGCAGTATTTTCTTTTCTAGTAGCTATTTTCAGTGGCTGTCCTTATTGCTTGTCTTACTCACTCCTCAGTGCAGACAATGGTCGTGTGAGTGTGAGCTGGACTCTGTTCAGCTATATCCTGAGTGTTCTCATGGCTCATGTAGTAATAAAACCACCAAATCTTTCTGAAAACAACTTACAATTTCTGAAAAGACCAATATGTTCAACACCTGTACTAGTTTATCTCACTCAGTGAATGAAAGTCCAGCAAGAGGTACAAAAGATAAACATGTCCCTGCTGGTGTAGATAGTTGTGGAAGGTGGCTGTGGGAGTTGTTTGGGAGAATACTTTGTATTTTTCCCACAGCGTTATCCATAAGCACCACTGTGGGGACAGTCCTGTGGGGGCAGCTGGGTCCTTGGTCTGTGTGGCTGTGATCATACTTAACATGCTTATGGCAGTTCATTCAAAGTTTAGGAGTGGATTTTCCTGTCCAGTAAAGCAATTTACTGTAGTCTTAAAGCAGCTTGGATTTGGCTGGTGGAGAATTTCCACTGTGACTGCAATTCCATGCTGAGGTGCTGTTGGTGGAGGTGATGTGGCTGCTACACCTCCAGCCACCATGCTCGTAATCCAGTGGAGAGGTCCAACATGGATATGAGGGTGTAAGAGGCAGCCTGGAAGCCTGGCTTTTCATATTCCTTGCTGTGATTGTGCTTTGAGGTGATATGTCTGGCAAGACTTCCTACAAATTGTGAGCAGCTGTCAGTTGTGAGAACTGTAGCCAACTGCTTACTTCCTCTATTGTCCCTGACACTGCACCCATGAGGAGTTCAAGTCTGGGAAACCAGTCTGGCCTTTTGTTCTACTCTACTAAAACCAGTGTACTCAACATATGGCTATGTGACTAAGACTGCGTTATAGTTGTGAGGACCTGACATGAAAATACTTGAGATAGGACTTGAAGAAGAAAATCTGGACTTGGGTTAGTAAGAAGTGCAGAAACTTGTGCAGATAGACATGGACCTCGCTTGTTCTTCTTTCCAGGGCCATTGAAAGACAGCTGTCATTTTTCATTTCTGTGGTTCCTACAGTGTCAAGTGTGTTCCCCAACATGAAAAATCATTGTGTATTTTATTTCCTATTTTCTTGGAAATATGGCTATAAATTTTTTTCTAGCAAAAAGAGTCAGATAATGTTCATATGTAGGATGACCAGTTTTCCTGTTGGGGATTATTATGTCTCTTCCTTAGCCTGGAAATAGTTGACAGGCATTACATTTTGAGATTGGGATTTTTGTTTATTTTTTTATTTTTTTTTTTGCCAGAGGCTCTGGAGGAAGCAGCAGCTAAGCTGTGTGAGAACTTGGACTTGGTCAAGGAGGATCATTTGTCTCCAGTTTCCAAGAGAGCCTTGTTTCAGTTTTGAACAATTACTGCACAGGTCTGTGAGGGGTGTTATATGCAGAAGTGTTAATCAGTAAGCAGTTTGAGCCACACTTGAAATCTCTTTAACATACTTATTTTGCTCTCTCGTACTTTGTTTTTATGTGTCAGTTGGCACAGTGTGAAAAAAGATGTTCATCAGTATTCTGTGCAGTTCCTTAGGCA